ATTCTAGTACAGCATATATTCTGGCCAGTGCTAATTCTGTGAGGACCAAGGCAGATTTTCTATTCCCTGCCAACTCTCCAGAAAACCAGGATCATCAAAAACAACAACTTTGATGTCTAGTACAAAATATTAGAATACTGAATCAAAGGGCATGTACATTTCTCCAGTGGTTTCCCTTTTACAGTTTTCTCTGCTGTTTAGCAAGTTCTTGAGATTTGTACCAGGGCCAGTTTGGCTTCTTTTCTTGTCCTTGAATAACCATTACCACCTCCAGGCAGCCCTTTCTTTCCTCTGTAATCCTAGTCCTTTTGGAGGCTACTATCCTGTGGCCTACAGCTAAATAAGAATGTTCTCTTAAGTTTACATGATCTCTTCTATCATAATTATCTCTTTTTCTAATAGTGAGCTGTAGCAGTAATAGTCTGATGAATATCTATGCACCTAGTTCCTTACTTAGAAACATAACCCTGTAATATCCTCTAACTGGTAAAAAATTTTAACAAGACTGTGTACCAAATATTCTGTACCTTACTCATCAGTTGCCAGTATTAGTTGATCCTTCAGGTTAACCAAGTGTCTCTTTGATTGTCCCTATCTTTTTAATACAGAGGCCTAAGTATTTGGTTAGTTTGCGTGTGGGGGCTGAAAGTGTGTGCCACATACATTAAAGATGGAAATACCTGGGGCCAGCGCTGTGGTGTAGTGGGTAAAGCCTATGCCTGTAGTGCTGGCATGAGTCCTGGCTGCTCCACTTCCATTCCAGCTCTCTGCCATGGCCTCGGAAAGCAGTGGAAGATGGCCCAAGTCCTTGGGCCCCTGCACCTATGTGGGAGCCCCAGAAGATACTCCAGCCATTGTGGCCATCTGGGGAGTGAACCAGCAGATAGAAGACCTCTCTCTATCTTCATCTCTGCCTCGCAAATAAAATTAAGTCTTAAAAAGAAAGAAAATGGAAATACATGTCTGGCCTCAGTATTTTCTGGCAACATTATTCAGTAAAGTCTGGGTTCCAGGGCTGTTCCTATCTATTTATTTGAAAGTCAGAGTAAGAGAGAGGGGTATCTTCCATCTACTGGTTCACTCCCCAAATGGCTGCAATGGCTACGGCTGGGCTGATCCAACGTCAGGAACCAGAAGCTTCCTCTGGGTCTCCCATTTGAGTGAAGGGCCGAAGGTCTTGGGCCATCCTCCACTGCTTTCCCAAGCATGTTAGCAGCAGGGAGCTGGACTGGAAGTACAGCATCCAGGACAACAGCTGGCACCCATATAGGATGTCAGTGCAGCAGGTAGCAGCTTTACCCTCTATGCTACAGCACCGGCCCCTGGGCTGCTGCTTTGTAACTTTCTCAAGAGCAACCAATATCCTTAAGGACAGTGTTTTTCAAGCTGTAGCTCCTGGTCTTTTGGAGGTCATGAAACCAATTTAGCACTTCAAGACTAGCATATTTTCAAAGTGAAATAGAGGAACAGTAGAGCAGGTAACAAGTTTAAATACTGCATCTTGAAATACTGTTTCAATTAAATACTCTATACTGTGTTTAATGGGTCACAATATAAAGGGTTATTCCATTTTGAGTTCCAATAATAAGCCTTGAAAAACTGCTGTCAGAGGCATGAGCAGTCTGTAGAGCCCTAACTCAGAAGTCCTCAGACTCTGAGCAGATGAGAGCTATTGTTATGATTTGTACAGTGTTTTCCTTCTTGGTGTGCAACAGATAACCTCATGTCATTCAATGGACCTGAAAAAAAAAATTAGATCCAGTAAAGGCTACCGGCTGTCATTTAACAACATGTACCACTAAGCATTTTACCAGATTCAGAGGTAGTTTTCCTTTCGAGTAAACTAAATTTGCTCCATTTACCTTCTGACTGATTATAATGGCCGTTAAAACTGGGCAACTAATGTATAGGGGACATTCCTTTAGGGATAAAATACTCATTCTCTGTGGTGATACTAAGGAGTGCTAGCCAATGGCAATACATTTTAACAAAAAATAATGAATTTCCACATTTCTCTAAAGTCCAGGTAGAAAACATGGATCACTAGCATTCTTAATGCAGGACTCAGTACAGAATTTGATCATTTTTCTTTGGTGCTATTCAGTATCACTACATCTCCTTCACTCAGAAAGGACATTCCCCCTCCTACTTAATCGTTTGAAAGATACTCTTGAAGTTATGTCTTAATGCCAATTAACCATGCCAGCATTCATCAGGTAAAATGTTGTGATTATTCTAATCTGTATTTTTAATTGTTGGTCAGTACAGCACTTTTGTTTCCCCTCTGTTCTTTGTCACCATTCTGTAGTAGTTGTTTCAGGACTATCCTTAAAGTAAGGCCAGCACATTGAGGGAATGCTGCTTCCTATTCCATTACAGACCTCACTCATGTTTCTTTAACAGAAGCCTTTTTATACTCTATTCTTTCGTAAGATAAACTTCCATGCCATTTAAAATTATATTATTTTAGAATTATGGGTTAGTTCTACTTTTTTAGAAGCAACATAGCATTTCCAAAGAAAGAGTTGGTTTTGGTTACCCATGGAACTACATTGAGAAGTGTAACTTCAAATTTTATAGGTTTTAAAATTTTTATTGCTTTACACAAAATACAAATTTTCCCTCTTTCACTGAACACCATCCATTTAGTGTTGCCTGGATACCTTAATGTATTTCTTCCTCATGAAGTTCCTGTAACAAGAAACCCTATGAGATTGATAAAATATCTAATAATCAGAAGTTCACTTAAAGTAGACCATGTCAGAAAAACCTACCAATCTTGTTAATCCATCATACTTTGTATGTTTAATTGGTTACCCAAAGGTTCCCAATTCTTAGGCTGAAAAACATCCAAGTTAAAATATAGATTACATTCAGATGTTCACAGTATCAGTGATTTTTATACCCAAACTACTAGAAATTATATATGGGACTTGTTACAAGGTCAGATACATTGTAACTGACTTTTTAAAATTATCTCTATGTAACCATGTATTATATGAAAATGAATTTTTTAAGGATGATGCACTTTAAAAATATTTTCTGTTGCTAATATTTATGTTGAGTGAATAATTTTTGCTTCTTTGAAATGCTTATGTGAAAATATGGTTGTCATAGTTTTTAAAATATATATATTTCTGCATCATTATATTTTTGTTCTTATTTTTTATGTGGGCTTAGCCCAGTTGCCCGTTTTGTGTATTCTGATAATTTTTAAACACAAACATTTGTGGTGAAGTTCTTTCTCTTGAAATTTTGTCTTTTTTCTAAAACTTGGTTAGCTGTGCTCACTAATGACATTTTTCTAAACTAATTATTTCTTGGATTGCATGGTAAGATGACTGCCCAGTTTAGCCATGTCTATCTTTTTCAAATAAATTAAGTCAAAGATTTCTGACCTTCTGTCTGCTTTTGTTTTACTTATGGGACAGAACTAGAAACATCATTAATAGACTTCCCTTGTCTATCTGAATTCTACCTCTTTAAGATCTAAATAAATGTTGATTTGTCAGGCAACTGGGACAGCAGCCCAGCATGATAACTGTCAACTACAAGCTTATGTGGTAATACTTGGTGAATCCTTAATTACAGCCCTGTACCTCTCAACCTCAAGAAAACTTCAATGGCTCATTTCCTCAGTAAGTAATGAGTGTGTTTTGAAAAAAGGTAAGGAGATGACATTTTTCTAAACTAATTATTTCTTGGATTGCATGGTAAGATGACTGCCCAGTTTAGCCATGTCTATCTTTTTCAAATAAATTAAGTCAAAGATTTCTGACCTTCTGTCTGCTTTTGTTTTACTTATGGGACAGAACTAGAAACATCATTAATAGACTTCCCTTGTCTATCTGAATTCTACCTCTTTAAGATCTAAATAAATGTTGATTTGTCAGGCAACTGGGACAGCAGCCCAGCATGATAACTGTCAACTACAAGCTTATGTGGTAATACTTGGTGAATCCTTAATTACAGCCCTGTACCTCTCAACCTCAAGAAAACTTCAATGGCTCATTTCCTCAGTAAGTAATGAGTGTGTTTTGAAAAAAGGTAAGGAGAATTTTCTACCTGCAGAATCAATATTGGCAGAGGAAATTAATTTTACCTCTAATAGTGAGACTTCAGCCTTTTTGTAAGGTAAGCAAAATACTTTGTTATCACCTTTTGCATGATTTGACAGCCCTCCTGCAACTAGTGATTTGAAGCCATAATTTTCTTGTGTAGTCTAAGCGTCAGCCAAAGATAAAGTGCTTGAAATGTCCACATAATCTCCTTGATTCTCTTGAGACCCAGTTCATAATTTTAGCACATGAGGAGTTGGAGAGATTATCTTGTTTCTAGAATCCCTGACGGGCTAATCATCCACCATTTTGCTCTTTGTGCAAAACTGTTTTGGCTAGTCTTTGAACTTGACTGTTCCAGGTAACTTTGAAAACATCAGTTTGTCAAGTTCCATGAAAACTTGCTGTTGCATTCATCTAGCAGAGGTAGGGAACCTTTTTTCTGCCAAGGACCATTTGGATATTTACAACATCATTATCAGCTTTAAAACTGGTCTGCTATAGGATTTTTTTAATTTTGAGTCCCACCTGTGGTTGCCTTGGCAGGGCCAGACCCGATGATTTTGAAGGCTGTAAACAGCCGGGCGTCCTCCACCTGAGGATTAGTTTTCAAAGCTTGATGTTGCATGGTAGAATCTCTGACTATAAGCATAATTTGAGTTATTTCTGGCACTTGTGTTCTTTGCTTTGCACCTGGCTGAAGGCAGGCTTGGGACAGCTATTGGAGTACCTGCACAATGTTCTATAACAAAGCCTGTTATGTTTTGTACAGTTGCTCCTCAGTTTATCATGGGAGTGTAAGCTGAACAGTCCAAAATGCATTTAATATACCTAACTACCCAACATTCTAGCTTCGCAAGACAGTGCACGGTAGAGGACGAGTTGTGTACCAGCTGTGGCTCATTGCCTAGCATTGCTGCTTTCCCAGGAAGAGATCAAAGGTCCAAATTGAAAGTTTTTTATTGAACATTTTCACACCATCATGAAGGCAAACCATTGTGAGTTAGACATATCACACCTTAAATCCCTAAAGGTTGTGTGCGCCTTGAGATGAGAAGCAGAAACAATCATCGGGCCCTTTAGTTTGAAGCCCTCTGTACTTCCTGGAGGATTCTGCTTTACCAAACCAGCTACTAAGGGAACTCCCAATATAATGAAATGAATACAGCCTTTCCCATTTCTTCCTCTTGAGGCAAGTTTCGGAGTTACTGTTAAGGCCACAGCATTTTCTCTATAGGCAGAACTATCAATCAACCACGAGCTCTAAGAAATACAACACAGTCCTTTGCAAGTGGTAGAATGGTATATTCTTAGCCTCCTCAGAAAGTCATAGCATACATAGTTCAAACATAGCCATTTGGTAAGTGTACAAGACCTGGTCATAAACATTAGAATATATATTATATATAATATACAGTACAATTTTCACCAATACAACATACATGCTATATGCCCATTCACCATATGTCAGCTTTGGCTCTATGATGGTCAGATTGTGACAAAATTAAATTAGAGGGGCCTTTGAAGAAAACCTGTCTCAGGAGTCATGGTGGGCCTGGGACGCAGCCCCGCCTCTGCTGCAGCGGAAGCTCCAGGAGTACTGAGCAGCCAAGGGGAAACTGAAGGACCAGAACGCCAAGAATAGTTGCCCAAACTTCTGGGCATGTTTCTCTAACCCAAACTGTCAGGAAAACCAAAGGGATCACTTAATGTACAGCCTCTGTGGACAACACCCATGTTGAAAAGGAATCCTCAGATAGCTTTCTGAAAGAGAGAAACAGACTTTTATCAGAACCTCAGAGGAAACCAGGCCCTGAATTATGTATTGTAAGTAAGGCAAAGACTAACTGTTGTAATCAAACCAAGAGCAGTTTTGCTCCTAAAAAGGCATGGGCAAAAGTTTGGTGAATAGCGCAGTTCTGAAAGAGTTAATAAACTGTAGGAGAAACACGAATCAGGACTGTACCACTGAAATCTCAGCAGCTTTCTAGAGGAGAGCTCATAAGGCCAGGAGGAAAACCCTCGAGGACAGTTCCCACTCATGGTATTCAGACCCTTAGTAGGATCCAAGTGTCAGAGAAGCCAGAGGTCAAGGATACAAAGGCTGACGGGGTAACCATGGAAGACAAAGTGAAACTAAGTTAAACCCCTTTACTGAACAGAAAGCAAAACATACCAAACCCAGGACATACCCCAATTTTGTTCTGGGAGTACGTAACAGACTTACAAGCATCAGGCAGACCAGAAATCCACGCAGCCTTATTTTAGACCCCAGACATCGTGTATACTGCAAAAAAATGAAACCAATAAACCAGAAGCCTAGTCTGACCATTTGCAGCTCTCATTCAGTCACTCCAAGCATGCCCAACTTAAGTATGGCAACAGCTTTCAACAAAAAGCAGACTTTGGACTCCCACTTGAAAAGGGCTCTTCCTCAGAACAGTTTTCTGAGCATGACAGCTCCCAAAACTTAAGCTGGAGTCACAGCCACGGCTAGGAACAGCAGAAGATCAAAGGAAACAACTGGAAGAATGGCAGAAATCTAAGGGGAAGATCTATAAGCAACCTTTTATGGAACTTAAAAATAGAGGAAATGAATATTTCTGGAAGAGCATTGAAAAGAAAGCTCAATTTGAGCTGTCCAATAAAATCAACAAAACTTACAGAATGTCTGCAGCTCATTGAAGAGGGTACGCTTTCCAGTGACATACTTGCCATACTGTCCAGCATTCTTGAGGCTGAAAATTTGCTAAATTCTGGATCTGCAAAGCAAAGTTGTTGGCAAGTAAAGGCACCTTTGATGTCACTGGGCTATATGAAGAGGCCATTAAAAAGGGGGCAACATCAATACAAGAGCTGCGAGAAGTTCTTAGTATTTTGCAAGACTCAAAAAGAACTGCAGAAGGAGTTACTTCTGACCCTTTAGTCAGTGAAACTAATACAACCTCAGTGGAAGAGCTGGCCAACAAGATGGAATCTGGACAGTCTTGTCTTTCTCCAAAAGAGAAGGAGGTTAGAGGACACCCCACATCAGCAAGGCAGAACAGGATATTCACCCTGGTATCAAATTACAGATTGCCCCAATTCCTAGAGTAAGTGGAATGGCAGAAGTGCAAGACATGGTCCTCAGCGAGGATCGAGGAGCAGTGTCCCACTACCCAGAAATGCTGCAGGAGCATGACTTAGTAGTGGCTTCTCTCAACGAGCTCTTGGAAGTGAAGGAAACAGTGTTTTATATTCCACAAAAATGAGGCTTTGCCTGTAACATTAGGGTTTCAGATCCTTGAATCATAATTTCTTGCTGCTTTAAAAAGAAGAAAAAGTGAGAACCTCCATAAGACAGGAATGCCCTTGTCAGGTGCCCTGGAAAAGAATGCATAATGGAGAGGCATCATCGGGATGCAGGAGACTATTCATAATTCACTCGGCTACTTTGCAAATTATGCATCCCCACAAGGAGGGCGTTGTGGGTCTAAGGCTGTAGTTTGCCACAGTTTTGCAACATACATGAATTTCAAACTGTTGAATATTAATGTGCCCCACAAATATGGTTAAAAATCTGCTCATCCTTGAGCAACTTCAGTCCCCAGCTGGTGCTGTGTTGTATCAGAAGATCGGTGCCACCACACAGTGGACTTCCCTCCTTGCACCCCCCTGCCGGAGGGGACAGGTCCTCACAGCCTGGCAGACCTCGCGGTTCCTGTGCATGCGGAACACGGACGGAAGTCCTTGGTTCCATCACAGTGTCCCATAGATGAGGGCGGCTCCTGCCACTCCTTTCCAGGAACCAAATGACACACACTCCTGAGTTGGCGTGGTCGTGGTCATCTAGTTCCTAATACCCAAACCTGGTTTTGCAGTTGTTTAGAAATGCTTCAAGTAAAAGCAGAACAGGGCAAGGGAGAGGGGACAAGAGGGACACTGCTTCACTTCGATCTTTTGCCATGGGACAGCTGCCTGGGAGGGCACTGTGAGCCTCAGGAACTATTACGGGATTCTTTTTCTTTCTAAGAGCATTTGCTCAGGAGGAAGCTCAAATCAGAGTCATTACGTAAATAGAAGGTATAGTAAAACCCAGTCAGCACATTTTAAATTTTAGCCTTCTTAATATTTAAATTAGAGGTACTAATTCGTTAACTTGGCTTAGAAAATTAACACAAAAAGAACCGTTTTCAGTGGCATGTTAAAGTAGTCTTTCTTCAGCATTAGAGAAAAACAATTGAAAATGCCTCTAAGACTTAATAAAAAAGCTTTAAACGCATTTATATTCCTTTGAGGAAAAAAAGACCCAGATTAATCCTGGAGGTCTCAAGGCATAATCTATAAATTAGTAGGCCCCTCTCAAATGATTTTTAGTGCCTACTATTAAACATACTTAAAGTAAATCACAGTGGCCACTTAAAATTCTATAAAACATCAAATAAAAAAATTAGACAAATCTTAGTCAAGAAAATAATTATTAAAAACTTGGAAATAAAAAACCTCTAGAAGGTTATAGTAAACTAAACTCGAAGTTTCATTACCCATCTCTATTCCCAGGGTCTGCATGATGTCCTTGGTGCCTGGGACAAGGGCCTGGCTTAGGCGATGATGTCAGAGCACTTGAAAATAAAATGAGGGGCTTACAAACCATTGTCTCCTGGTCTGGAGGAAGGGCAGTGCTTCTAAACTAAGTTGAATTCCCTTAAGTTTAATTGCAGGATTGTGTCTTTGACAGCAGCAAAGACAAAGCGAATATTCTCTGTATCCGTAGCGCAGGTGAAGTGGGAATAGATGACTTTCTCTTTGTCAGGATTCTGATCTTGGTAAAGCTTCAGGATAAAGTCTCTGGCAGCTTTGACATCCTGCTTTGGTCCTAGATACCAATGTGATTAAGAGGAATAAACAAAGATACAGAGTCATCACCATGTTTCCCAAGAATCCTTTTTACTGTATTCTTGCTCTGATTTGGGGATCCTTTTTTATCTTTCTTACTATATTTGTATAGAATAATGTATTTGAAGCATTATTTTTACATCTTATCATGAACCCATAAAATGGATTTTAAAGTATCCAGTAGGATCTAAAAATTATACTTTAATGTGATTTGTTTAAAAATTACGACCTGGGATGACACTGTGGCAAAGTGGGCTATTGGAGCGCTGGTTTGGGTTCCAGCTACTCTGCTTGGATCCAGTTCACTGCTAAAGTGCCTAGGAAAACAGAAGATGGCCCGTGGACCTGAGCCCCTGAAACTCGCACGGGAGACCAGGATGAGACTCCTGGCTCCAGCCATTCAGAAGTGAACTGGCAGATGGAGAAATCTCGCTGCTGCTGCTGCTGCGCCTTTCAGTTACATCCATCTTTAAAAACAAGAATTGTGACCCAACTCCGTTTTCTGATTTAGAGGACTTTTGAAGAGAAGTAATCCTTATTAACACATATAAACAGATGTGGGCTTAAAAAGTGAAAAGGAAGACTAGAAACATTTTTAGGCTGATTTTAAAGCTTGAGGGATCTTTGCTGCACCAACAGTGTGGCAACTAAAAGGAAAAAGGGGGGAGCTGGAACACTGATTCTCTGAATTTCAGTGTCAAGCTTAGTAATATTTGAGACATCCTGGACCAGAACTTGACATGCCCCCTTTTTCTGAAAAAAGGGTGCCACACTTTAATCCACACATAGGAAGTGCCATGAGCTCTGACTGGTGCTGGAAAGGTAAAGATAAATTAGGCACAGGCTCAGACCCAAAGAACTGACGGGGGGGAGCTGAGTGAGTGAGCAGGCAACACTACACAGCACAGTGACAGCCAAGAGGGAGCAGGGGAGCCAAGGGAGCAGGCAGGAGGCAGCACTGTTGTACCACACCAGTGGACAGGAAAGGATCTGGAAGGCCCTCACAAGGAGAAGCAGCCTGAGCCGGGCTCTGGAAAAGCAAAGGAGTTGGGCAAGTATATGCCAGGCACTAGGGGAGGCACGAGTAGAGGTGCTGAGGTGAGAAAACCCACTGAGTGCAACTCAGGCTTCCATTCAGAGGTCGGTGGGATGGGCTGTTCCCAGCAGACTGGAGAGGCCCCTGCAGCGTGGTGCCTAAGAGTGGACAGGATGGACCCAGAAGCATGGCCCCCAGAATGAATGTTCACTTACCTGTGTATTCTGGGAAATAGCTAATGAGATGAGAGTACATGATTTTCTCTTCCAAAAGATCCTTCTTATTTAAGAACAAAATCACAGATGAGTTCAGAAACCAGGGGTAAGTGATGATGGTTTTAAACAAGGCTTTGCTCTCTTCCATACGGTTCTAAGTGAGAAACAAAGGACTTTGAGATAAAACTGGAACAGAGAGCAGTAGTTAGGAAACAGCATGCCAGACTGCTCACCCAGTTGTCTGTTCGCTCACCTGCTGAAGCGGGGAGCCTGCTTCTAGGAGCGCCCATTAATTGCCCCCTTTGGAATCTTTTTGTGGAGTACCTCAATTCTTCTCTAGCACCAAAACTACCATGTAAGAAAATGACAAAAGCCTTGGGCACAGCGTCAAGAACTAAGGTCCATAGTCACATGTGAAAAAAAAAAAAGTTTTCTGTGTTCTGTAATTGTTGGAATTACCAGTGGGGAAAGTGCCAGCATCAGACCTAAGAGGGCCATTTCAGCTGGGTGTGGGCTCCCGACTGTGCCTCCAGAGTCATAACAGGAGGAAGGCAGGCGCCTCCAGCAGGGCCACTTCCTTAGGGATGCTAGACACCGACCTAGCAGGGAACCCCTGCTACTTGGGCTTCCACTTATATTCTGTGCCACACCTGACAAGTGCAACAGTGTACCCATTTGATGGGCACTGTTCAGAAAACTTTCCTGCACCCATATAATATTGGGATCTGGTAAAGATTATTTAGAATGGTAATTTCCAAAACATTTTAGACACTGGCAAGAAAATATTAACCACTCCTTGTTTATGGAGAGCAGACAGGACACAAATTTCATCTGGTGGCAGTAACTGTTCTAGACAGAAATACTTGTGAGTGCAGAATGAGAAGAGGAAAGGAACAAGAAGTTGCCCTTAGAGAGGAAAGTCGTCAGGCTGACTAATAATCCAAGGCCAACTCATGCACCCTAGAGAGACATGACGTAAACCTCCATTTCCCTACAACTCACGCACATGGCACATTCCCCCTCAGTACAGTTTTGGGGATTTAGATCTAAAATGTACTGCCAGAGAAGTTTAAAAACTGAAATTTGTTATCAGTGATCTCCAAGGAGAAACTTGTACCATATATGAAAAAAAATCTCTTATAGCACAATTATATATATATTATATATATATAATATATATAAAATAAAATGCATATCTACAACCAGAAGGGGAAAGCATGGAGAGGCAGCCCCTTAGTTTTTCTCCAGCCTTAGGAGTTTTAGGAGGAGGAAGGATTTCATTTCTGAGCACATCAGGCTGAAACACTGGTCCCTTGCAACCCCGACCAATCTTGAGTTTCACGAGAAATGTTACAAGTAATTCTGGAGACAAAATTGAAGCTAATCTTCTATACGGATAACTGGTTGTGTTCACTTTAATTTTTTTCTTCCCCACTTGGGAGAGCTGGGCAGCAGCCAAGATTTCTGTTCTTTGCACAGTGACACAGCTAAATGGGTTAATTCTCCACTAATTAGCTAATGTAGCTGTGTTCCTCAGAGAAAAGTCTGCTCTCAAGACATACAGGATATGGTTTGTTCATAGGTGTTGCCTATGGCTGGGTAGAGTTCTTCACTGATTTCCCTTCATGCCCTGGAAAATCCTATGCAGGTTCATGGGGAATGATGGTGGGAAGTTCATCAGGATCCCATAGGAAAGAACCCTGACCTCACAAAGCAGTACCTGTGACGGTCCTCTTCCCTGTTGGAAGCAGATCAAGCAAATGGAATTGGATCCAGGCAACATTCAGGCAGGTCTGCAGGGATGCTGAGCATCTGTTTGAGCCAATCAGTCCCTGCTGCCCTGAGCAGGTCCCTCCCACGGGAAGTAAGGGCAGCCGCAGTCGCAGGCCGCCCCAGCATCTACCATTATTGCCCACACCAACTCAGCTGGGGACCTAACTGGGGAGTATCATGGGCTAGAGAGGCTGTGAAGTCTATGCTCAGATAGTCTGTCAAGCACAGTGTTGCTCAAATTTGAAAGAGGAAGTGATGAAATCACTTGGAAAAGTGAAGCCTCTCTCCTAAATCTAGAAAATACAAATCTCCAGTAAGGAGTCCAAAAGGCAGTATTTCTAAGAAGTTCTCCGTGGGAGCACATCATGCTGCCAAGGATAAAATCCTCTGCTTGGGCGTGGTTTCCAACCTCAGAGGCACATCAGATTCACTTAGCTTTTTAAAGCATCCTGTGGCTCAGGACACAGCCAGGACCAAATCCAGATTTTCCAGGGTGGATGGACACAGGCACCGGGTCTGAGTTCCTCATGGAATTCCTGTGTGCATCTAAGTTTGAAAATCTAGTGTTCCAGCAGTTCTCAACCTTTCACATATATAGTCAATGCACTGCACAGTGTGTCAGTCAACGGCAGACCATATATACAGGGGTGGTCCTGTGAGATTATAATGGAGCTAAAAAAATTCCTACTGCCTCATTTTTGCTGTCTCTTCTCTGGTTAAATACAATTGTATTACAGTTGACTACAGTATTTAGCAGAGTAACCTCTGCTGTCATAGGTTTATATAGCCTAGGAGAAATCGGCTCTCCCGAGGCATGGAATAGATTAGGTTTGTGTGTGTACACCCCTGTGATGTTTGCACAACAATGAAATCACCTAAGGATGCGTCTCTCAGTATATCTCTATTGTTGTATTTCATTTCTCTGGGATCTTGCTAAAAATGCACTTTTGTGACTCAGTCCGTCTGGACTTTTCAGTACAGGTGCATCTCTAATGAGCTGCTAGTCTACAAACTACACGGAGTGGCAAAACTGTGCAGCCTAAAGCGTTGCCTGAACCAGCTGGCTTCCTGTTAACCATGGAAATAGGTTTGTCTTTCACAGTGCTGTGCTCCGGATATAGTTTAAGTGTGTCCCCAAAACAGTTCGTGTGACTGGAGGCCTTGTCTCCAAGGTAGCAGCGCTGGGAGGGAGGTGGCAGAACCTCTAGAGATGGGGCCTTATGAGAGGTCCTTAGTTCAATGGGAGTGCTACTCTAGGAAGGTAGGTCTGGTGTGACCCCTTGAGTTCTCATGAGAAGATTGGTACAAAAGAGCAAGCCTGGTCCTACCAGCTCCCACTTCCACCTGGTTTAAGATGTATTCTCTGGGGCCGGTGTTTCAGCATAGCAGGTAAAGCTGCCGCCTGCAGTGCTGGCATCCCGTGTGGGTGCCGGTTCGAGTCCCATCTGCTTCACTTCCGATCAGCTCTGTGCTGTGGCCCAGGAAAGCAGTGGAGTCCTTGGGCCCCTGCACCCCTGTGGGAGACCCGGAAGAAGCTCCTGGCTTTGGATCAGCACAGCTCCGGCTATTGCAGCCAACTGAGGAGCGAACCAGCAGATGAAGACCCTCCCTTCCCCTCCCTCTCTGTAACTATGACTTTCAAATAAATACATAAATTTAAAAAAAAAAAGATATAATCTGCTTGCTTTTGCCAACACTGCCATTGCAATCTACCGTTCAATGATGCAGCCAAGGGGACAGCTCTCCTCTGAGCCTGCGCTGTGTCTGGATTTTGAACCTCCATTACTGTGAGCTACCTACACCCCCATCTCTTTATACAGTTAGCTCCCTCGGGTATGTGGTGGTTGTTACACAAAGCTGACAAATATACAAGACTACTTAAGTGCCCATACCTCATTGTTACATTCAGCCAAGACCTGGTCATATTCGCTCAAAGCCACCAAGAAAATGATGGAAGTGACGCTCTCAAAGCAGTGAATCCATTTCCGTCGTTCAGATCGTTGGCCACCCACATCCACCATCCTGTTCAGTGGAAACACAAGTTGCTCAGAATGGAAGACACGACTTCTGAAAGTGGGCCTAAATTTAGTAGGTTTGAGCACCACTTGGCTTTAGACAATGAAGGATGACTGGATGTTTTTTAGCAAAGTAGGCACAAGACATAAATGACATTTCTGAGGCCAGAAACGGGTGGAACCTGCTGGGGACCCTGGTTAGGAAGCTGTTGCCATAGTTCAGGCAGAAAACACAGTCATCTACTTTGACTGTGTGGACTCCCAGGACACCAGACACAAAAGGGATGGAAAGCGAGAAGTCTTCCAGGTCCCCCAGCTCTCACTGGTACTTGGTCCGTTCTTGTTTTCGTGGCTCATCTAGTTCATGTACCATCCTGTCTATATCAGCTGGATGCCAACCCTAGTTCTTTATAAGGGCACCTGCAGGTGCCTTCATCCAGTGTGTAAATCCAAAGCTGTACCTGGGAGAGATTTTGTGGACTTAGCTCAGGAATTCCATGCTCAAATGGCACAAGGGTCAGGCAGTTTAGGGAAACCAGTCAAGTGGTCCTCTCTGAAGCAGAAACACTTGGACTGCACAAGAGCTAGGGGCCCTGTCTAGCGGGGTGGCTGCTGGGCAAGATGAAGGCTCACTGTGACCAGGTCTGCTGACCTTGCGGGAGAAACGATGCGAGATGTTGAGTGAAACACCTCCATCTTAAAGTGTTAGCTCACAAGTTTTTATGATGCTGAGTGGGCCAAAATCAATACACCTGAGGGTTAGAAACAGCCACAAACTGTCAAGTCACTCCCCCTCCCTGACACACTACCCCCAGTAGACACCTGACTGGTGTGGTTGGGGGCCCCTACAGACCAACCCCCTACCATAACTGTTGTTCAGAATGGTGCTAGAAAGGAAACCAAAACCCAGCTCTGCCCTCAAACCAGGTCCTGCAATGACTTGTTCATGACTGGCTGAGAATGGAGCTGGAAAGGGAAACTAGCAGGTTAGGCTTTGGGGCCAGCATTGTGGCACAGCAGGTGAAGGTGCTGCGTGGGACACCTGCAGCACATACCACGAGTGCCAGTTCAAGTCCCGCACTCCACTTTTGATCCAGCTCCCTGCTAATGAACGTAAGAAGGCAGCAGATGATGGTATACGTATTTGGATCTCTGCCACCTATTTGAGAAACTCAGCATTCCAGGTGTCTGGTTTTAGCCTGGCCCAGCCCCAGGTGTTACAGCCATTTGGGAAGTGAACCAGCTGATGAAAGTCTCTTCTGTCACTGCCTTTCAAGTAAATCTTACCAAAGGACCACAAAAATGTAAAAAAAAAAAAAAAAAAAAAAAAAAAGTTGGGGCTGGCACTGTAGCATAGCTGATAAATCCACTGTCTGCAGTGCTGGCATCAATGGGCGCTGGTTCGAGTCTCGGCTGCTCCACTGCCCATCCAGCTCACTGCTGTGGCCTGGGGAAGCAGAAGATGGCTCAACTGCTTGGGCCCCTGACCCTGCGTGGGAGACAAAGAAGCAGCTCCGGCTATTGCAGTCATCTGGGGAGTGAACCAGAGGATGGAAGGTTTTCTCCCTCTTTCTCTGCCTCTACCTCTCTGTAACTCTTCCTTTCAAGTAAATAAACCCAATCAGCCCCCAGACGATGTTGGAAAAACCATCCATCAAAGCCAAAAGAGGGTAAGTGCAGAAGAAATGTCTTTTAAAATAAAACAAACTAACCTTAGGAGCTCCCCCGTCTGGGAGGTTTTGGAAGTTGCATGCACCAGTTGACTTTATAAGGGTCTGGAAAAGTACCCAGCACACATGCACAAGGCACTACCATTAAAATTGGGAATCTGCCAACAAAAATTCAGATCATCTGCAGAGGGGCTTCACCACAGGTGTCCCACAATATGGAGAAGCACTGGGGATAAGGACAGGCAAGCCCTGGATACGAGAGATGGCCAACTAGCAAAGTGTCTCATAACTGCTAGGAAGAACACGGGACATAATGGATATAAAATGCTTTGAAATGCGCAGTGTTCACATAAGCCCTGTATTCGTCTCTTTCTTTCAGTAATTAACTTAGTCATCTTAGAAGTATTTCCTCTTTGTCAGTGGTGAGGCACACATTTTTACACAGCTGTAAGTCATTTATACATAATAATTTTGATACACATTTTTGTATTTTTAAATTTGTTGTAAAGCCAAAGAAAGATCCCACAATTACCAGTTTATGCCCCAGATGCCCCCCAGCAGCTCCAGGCCAAAGCTAAGGCCTGAAATTCCATCAGGGTCACCCACATGGTGGCAAACACCCAACTACATGAGCCACCCTGCTCAGGAGTGCCACGCCTGGCAGACAAATTCTTCATGAACCACACCCAGGAGACAGTCTTACCGAAAGATGATGTTTTCCAAGTCAAATGGATACTCTATGATGCCAGTGGTGGGCACCCGGACCCGGAGCACATCTTGCTGTGTTGGCACGAAGGACGGCATGGCAATCCGGTCAATGTCAGTCAGGTAGCTGTGCGGTTAGAGGAGGAGGAGCTGAGAGTCCACCCAACTCAACAGTGACCCCAACACACACACACACACACACACACACCCATCGGCGACTTCCCAGGACTGATATGGAGAGAATACAGACCCGAAGCTCTTTCCTGACCTTCCTGGGACCTCTGCAGACCCCTCCAAGGTTCTGCCTCCGGCACTTCAAACTCTGTGCCCACATCCACTTGGCCAGCAATGGAGACAGCAGAGCTGGACGGTTGGAAATGACTGGTTTTCCGGTGGCCCGCCCCACTCCAGTCTCCTGCAAGTGCCTTAGCTGATGTAGATGGTATTTTCTAAAGCTTATGCTCAATGAACCAAATAGAGTTTATAAGAAAATATAGAGGTGTAAAACAGGTCACAGGGAAATTCTTAGAAAATAACAGTAAAAAGTATTCCTGTGTAAGGTGCCAGAAAACTAAACATCTTCTAAAATAACCTGGAACTTGTCTTAATTATTTGACTATATACTAGAGACCTAAGCTTAAGAACGTGCCACTTTTTAAAAGAAAAATGAGAATACTTAAAAAAAAAAAACCTTGAAGGCCTTTATAAGAGGCATTTTTAGTGAAATAACTGTCACATGGTCCCTGCCTAGGCCTTCTGTGACCCACCTCCCATGCCCAGCTATGCAAGCCCAGGACCAATCGCCGCTTTAGTAACACTCTGATGTATGATTGCTTGGTTTACCTGTCTTGTTCCACCAGACTGTACATTTTCTTACCACGCCGCCTGGCACATCACAAGCATTCATCAGGACTTTGTGACATGAATGCATGTGTCCAAGTTAGCAGACATGACTTGCGGAGCCACAGAAAACCCTCTGACCTGGCCTGAGGAACTGCAGGAGAGCGTCCGGTCTCGAGATGGGGCAATGGTCCAGGTTTATGAGTGCCATTTTTTCTGCGGTAGTTCTGGCCACCCCCATGTCCCTTTCCCGTAGCTTTCTCCAGTTTGCAGGCTTGCACTCAACTCTACAGCAGTGGCTGGGGAGACCCAGACAAGCCTCAGGGCATTCTCAGAAACACCACCAGGTAGGAGCTGCAGCACCGTGGCTGCCCCTGACCTTGAGAGGTGCCTGTCACCTTGAGCCGTCCCTGGCTCCCTGGGTTGTCAGGGGCAGTCTGCCTTTTCCTTGCGACACTTCTGTCTGTCTTTTCTGTGCTTATCAAGCCCCTCATTAGGGTCTCCTGTTTTCCTGCCTGGCTGTACTTTTTGTGCATCCAAATATCCTCCTCCAGGTTGTGCCGACCTGGATTAACAACGTTAAACACTGCCTGGCACAACGCCAAGCAGAAATCAGTGAAACTCCAGGAGGTGACATTTCCAGTTTCCTTTCCCACCTTGTCCAGGTAAGAGGGGTGGTGGCGAACAACTGCCCAAGACAGCTCAGAGGACGCCAGCAGCCCCTAATGGCAGGGGGACTGAGTCTTGGGAAAAGACCCAGGAGCCTCAGGGAATGGAAGACGATACAGGGCAAGTGAGAAAGAATGGAGAGGCAAAAGCAAGGCTCTCTTCCTCCTCCAGGGCTGTAATCAAATCACTTGGCTTGGTGACCTGGCTGATGGCCACAACACCTCAGGAAATTCCTCAGAGACTCCAGTCTCTGAGGTGTGGTCTGCATGCAGATCACATAAATAGAAATCATTTCACCTGCAGGGATGAATTCTTTAAAACTAAAGCTTTATGGATCCAAAAATACAATGCAGAAGCCTTCGCGGGGGGCCTACATAGCTGTGTGCACCTGAGTGTGCCGGGCCCGCAGTGACGCATCTTTCCCACTAGAGGGCAGCACCAGATCAGCCGCTGACAGGGCTCTGGCCACCCTCCACCCCACGTCCTCATCTCCCCGCGGGAGCAAACTGCGATTTTAGGCTGGTTACAGCCTGCTGTTGTCTGCTGAGAAACCAGAAAGGCAGAAGGGTGTGGAGAGGAGGCACACGGGAGCCAGCACGGGTATCTCTGAATCAGATCATCACCGCACCCCAAGGCACAGCTGTCCCACTGAGGGGTCCCCAAGGCGCTTGAGCCTCTCATCGAAAAGGCCAGGCTTGGAGCCCAGAGGGGCCAGGAGTGAGAGGCGGCACCGCGAAGCCGGGGGAGCGGAGGAGGGGAGCGCGGGCCGGGTGCCCGGCCGTACTCACTACTTGGCCGAGTCGGACAGCTGGTACTCGCGCCGCCGGTCGTAGCACTCCTGGACCCCGGGGTCCCGCCACAGCTGCTTGATGGCCTCCACCTGGTCCCCGGACAGCGCCGACACCCTGTCCACCTCCACCTCTCGGATTAACTGCGCGTTCTCCTGCACACAGAAAAAAAAAGAGCCTTCCTTGAGGCCCACGAAAGGAAGCCCGCCCAGGACCGGTGTGGGGCAGGCTTGTCAGGGGTCTGCTCCCGCACCACCACAGACCCCAACGGCGGGCAGGGCAGCTCGGGGCTAGCGCTCAACCAGGGAGTGTCTGCGCGGCCAACGGAGCAGCCGGGAATTAACTATTAGTATCAGGGCTCAGCATTGCAAGGGGATGGTTGGAGTGGGCCACCCGGGTCACGATTGCCATCATTATTACCTTTATAGCAGCCACCATTCTTTGGCCACTTACTGTCTGCCAAGGCCTCTTCTTCCATGATCTCATTTAAATCAACAGAAGGCTAGCACCAGGCCAGAACTCTTTGTAAACATCAGAAAATAAAAAAGGATACAGGTGCCTTGCATCCACCACATCTCCATGTGTTGGCCCCAGAGGCTCTGCAATTCTTCCCTGCTTCACGCCGTAACAGCCCAGTGAATTCCTGCTGGGGAGACAGGAGCTGGGCCTCCACTACCCTCTCCTACCTTCCTGCATCAATCGCGTATTACAGAGCTCGCTACTCCGTGGTGGCTGGGAGGCAGCCCAGCATCTGTTGAGGGCTGCGATCCCATCAAGTGGATGGGGTGCCCCTGAAAAGCTGCTTCTAGCTTACGTCGCTCATCCTTGTAAGCAATGGAGACAGCAGCAGCCAGAGAAAGGGAGGCTCTCACAGGTCCCCACATCTTTGGTGAAAGCAGAGGCTGCGTGGTAATCAAGTTGGCTTCGTCCCACATGCATCACAAAAGTGAATGTGAACTCCTCCCCCCAGAGACGGGGCACCCTAAGGCAGGTAGGGTCTCTGTCAAGGTAAAGGCCAGATGGAGGAGGTGGGGAGTGCCCTGGGAAAAGCTATGAGGACTCTGCCACATCGCCTGCTTCTGTGTCCTTGTTTGTAAAATGAGCCAGTGATTTTCAGGGGCGCCTGAACTATCAGTTATCAAAAGCATTACCCAGGCCGGCGCCGTGGCTCACTAGGCTAATCCTCCACCTTGCGGCGCCGGCACACCGGGTTCTAGTCCCGGTCGGGGCGCCGGATTCTGTCCCGGTTGCCCCTCTTCCAGGCCAGCTCTCTGCTATGGCCAGGGAGTGCAGTGGAGGATGGCCCAGGTGCTTGGGCCCTGCACCCCATGGGAGACCAGGAAAAGCACCTGGATCCTGGCTCCTGCCATCGGATCAGTGCGGTGCGCCGGCTGCAGCGGCGGCCATTGGAGGGTGAACCAACGGCAAAAGGAAGACCTTTCTCTCTCTGTCTCTCTCTCTCACTGTCCACTCTGCCTATCAAAAATAAAAAAATAAAAAAAAAAAAAGCATTACCCAAACATAAGCAGCATTGGCCTTGTTATTACAGCAGATGCCTGAAAACATAGTTCTTGTTGGTAAACACAGGACACATCACCGCCTCTGACCCAACTTCTGGCACGTGGTACATCACCTGCCCTTTCTCTCCATAGAGGAAGCCACCAGCCATGTTCACCTGGAGTGGAAGGACGTCCCCCACACCTCCCCTCCCCAACACTCCGGTGGCCACCCTCACTCCTCCCAGAGCCAGGCAGTCTCTTCCCACCCCGTGCCAAGCTCTACCCTCTAAATTGAAAATTGCTGTCTTCCTCTCTGTCTCCAAGCCAGGAAATGCCGCAGGGACAGAGCCAGTGTCTTACTTGTCCTTTTGTCCCAGAACCTGGCAAATCACTGATGTGTGTTCAACATTCGTGATGCATATAAAACGCATCCAACCGCAGGAGCACAGAAGAGACAGCAAACATGTAAGAGCGAGACAAGGGACACGAACCCGTTCCAGTGGGGTAGAGGGGAACTCTCTCAGAGGGGGAAATACCCTGGGGACCGCTGACCCCTGTGTCCTCCCTACTCTGACCCTGACGGCGTCCTTGCTTCTCAGGGCACAGATCTGTAGGCTGCCCACCACAGCCTGCCCTCCAGTCCACTTAACTGCCAGAGTCAGCGCCATGACAGCCACAGAGGATATTACAAATGCAGGGGAATTTCAACAAGTTCATGGAAAATGGAATCGAAAGGAAAGTTTGTGCTCGTGCAAAAACGAATTTGAAATTCATGCATTGAAAAGTTCATGGAAAATACATATTATGCAAAAACAATGTGGGAATTTCAAAACATTTTTGGCAACAGATTTTTTTTTAATTTCATTTTTTAGGGGCTGATGCTATGGTGTGGTGGGTAAAGCCGCCACCTGCAGTGCCGGCATCCCATATGTGAGGCAGTTCAAGTCCTAGCTGCTCTGCTTCTGATCTAGCTCTCTGCTATGGCCTGGGAAAGCAGTAGAAGATGGCCCAAGTGCTTCGGCCCCTGCACCCACGTGGGAGACCCAGAAGTTGTTCCTGGCTCCTGGTTCCAGATTGGCCCAGCTCTGGTCATTGTGGCCATTTGAGGAGTGAACCAGCGGATGGAATATATCTCTCCCTCTCTGTAACTCTCCCTCTCAAGTAAATAAATCTTTAAAAAATTTGAGAGTGAGAGTTATACAGAAGCAGAGAGAGAGAGAGATATCTTCCACCCGCTGGTTCACTCCCCAAATGGTCACAATGACTATGGCTAGGATAGAAGCCTCTTCCGGGTCTCCTACATGGGTACAAGGGCCCAGGGACTTGGGCCATCTTCCACTGCTTTCCCAGGCACTTTAGCAGAGAGCTGTATCGGAAGTGGAGCAGCCGGGTCTTGAATCAGCGCCCATATGGGATGCTGGCACCACAGGCTGTGGCTCAGTCCACTACGACCAGCACCAGCCCTAAATGTCACTTTTTCATGAATGTTTTGAAGTATCCACTGTATTTCTGCCTCTCCTCCTCACAAATGCACTGTAGGATTGTGCTTCACAGTGAGCAAAATCTGAGCTGCAATAAGATTCTTCTGTCTTGGGGCGAAACTTGCAAGTGCCAGTGACTAATTCGCCACACTGCCTTTCATCGTCCCGGGGACGGGGAAGCAGAAGATAAGCAGAGGTGCCTATGGTGAGCACAGCTGCGGTAACACCACGCACTGGATATGTCGCCTGAGTGAGAATCCGACGGCTAGGTTCCCATCAGCAATGAGCTGAGCAAGCTGAACCTGAGCAGGAGTTTGCTGCCCCAGCATATCCTACTGCACCTATCAGCACGTACACATGCTGCGGTAGATAAACCCAGCCACCGGCTCTTCCAGTAGACACAGAAAGTACATTCCCAAGAGTTAACCAAACAGAACACAGACTTCTGCACAGGCTACCAGGAGAGGCGACTGGAGGAAGAAACAGAGACCTGAGTTCTCAGGTAACCAGGCAAGCTCAGCCAGGAGAGAAAGTCACATTGCCTGGCCAGCCAAGACAAGAGAATTTGGGAGAATCTGGCTTGAAGTAAGAAAGGAGCTCGAGATCTTGGAAACCCAACAGCACAACTTGAGTTTGGGACAGACTGAACCCAGAAGTATTCCAAGTTCTTGAACTCCAAGTTCACAGCTGCTGGTGAGAGAGAAGATGGCCCAAGTCCTTGGGCCCCTGCACCCACGTGGGAGTCCCAGAAGAAGCTCTTGGATCCTGGCTCCTGGCTTCAGATCGGCACAGCTCTGGCTGCTGCAGCCATTTGGGGAGTAAATCAGTGGACAAAAAATTTCTGCCTCTCCTTCTCTGTAACTCTGCCTTTCAAATAAATAAATTATAAGATTTTTCTCTTAACTTCTTATTTTGAAATAATTTAAGACTTGGAAAAATGTGACAGAAAAATGTTACAAAGGTTTCCTCTACTCCTTTCAAGATTGGTCAAGGAATCAGCACTGTGGCATAGAAGGTTAAGCCTCCTCCTGCAATGCCAGCATCTCATATGGGCATTGGTTCGAGTCCCGACTGTTTCACTTCCAATTCAGCTCCCTGCTAATGTGCCTGGGAAAGCAGCAGAGAATGGCCCAAGTCCCTGGGCCCCTGCCATCCATGTAGGAGACCCAGAAGAAGCACCTGGCTTCAACCCGGCTTCGCTCCAGCCATTGCAGCCACTTGAGGAGTGAACTTGTGGATGGAAGACCTCTCCATCTCTCCTACTCTGCATTTCAAATAAATAAAACAAATCTTAAAAAAAAAGATTCATCAAATGTTAACAATTTACTACCTTCATCATGCATGTGTGTATGTACAAATACACATAGACACACACACACACACACACACACATAAATGTTTCTTTTTCCTGATTATTTGAAAGTTGCAGGTACACTACCTTTTTATCTCTAAAAACATCAGCATAGTTCCCTAAAAGCGTCTTGCACAATCACAGTTTAATGATCAAAAGGAAACTAATAAGGATGCGACATTACTATCCAATCTTCAGATCTTGTCCAAAGTTTGCCAGTCATCCCATGCATGTCCTTTACCTGGGCTGGAACCCAGTGGAGGGCCACAAATGTTGCATTTAGTTGGGAAGTCTCTATAGGCTCCATTTACCTGGCAAAGTTCTTTGGTGAGCGAGGGTGGCCTGACAAACCCCTGTTTTGTAGTCACAAGCTGTGATAAGGATGACTGGGAGACACACTGGCGCCACCAAGAACCCAGCGAGTATTCCAGAAGCAAGTGTTAGGAAAGGCAGGGAGGAATGAGGAAGAGATTCTCCTATTACCTTTTTTCAATCAGAATTTTATTGAAATATGAGCTGAATGGTGTCTGTGCGCTGCCACAATGTCTGTGTGTGACCAGAGGGGAGTTCTGTGTATAGAGCATTTCCCCTCTGGCGTGGCCACACAGTCCCACAGCAAGGACGGTGGCACTGGGATGGGCGTGTCCCAACTGTGTCCACAGCGCACGCCCTCCGGAAGCAAGGGAGCCCCTGTACAATGTGGGGAAGCTTTGTGTCACTGCAGGCAGGCTTCTTCAACTCCCAGGAAGAGGGGAAGTCAAGTCAGACGTGGCTCAGCGCGTCCAGGAAACCATCATGACGTGGGCAGGGACCACACTGAGCAG